GGGCGGAGCGGGGGGTTCCGCGGGACGGGGTGAGTAAGGAGCCGTGCGACGCCGCGATGGAGGCGGCAGCCCTAAAGCTGCTCCCTCCGGACACGAGAGATGAGGGCACGCAGAGGTGCAGGGTGGGACCCGCCACCCTCTCCGCTCTGGGAGCCAGGATCGGCGCCCCGCTGAGGGTCTCCCTGCCGGCCGGCTGCTGCTTGTGCACGGCGTGGCCTCGGCACGATTTGGCGGACGGGTACCTGCAGGTGGACGTGAGCTGCAGAACCGCGGGTGTAACTGCGGGGGACCTGAAGGGCCTCACATTGAACATCGGCCAGCTGAAGCTTCTGGCTTATCGCCACTTAAAAAAGGCGGCTGTGAAAGTGGTCCTAAAGAGCTCTGCACTGAAAAAGTCGACTCCCAAAACAGTGTTGCAGGAGACCATCAGAGAACTGCTAAGAAATGTTTACGTTTCACTTAATTACGTTGTTACTGTTGCCCCAAATCTTGAAAATCCCGTGGTGTGTATTGAAATACTGTCTGTAGACCCTTTGACAGATGAAGCTGGACTCATAACCCCCCAAACAAGCATAAAAATTAAGGAGGTGGTCACTTTTGAATGGTACAGACACTTATCTGAATCCAGTGCAAAAACTTCAGTTGCAGGACTAGATGATGTGGAAAAGTCTTTGAAAGAAATTATTGATCTGCCTTTCCACTTTCCAAAAACTTTCAAAAAGCTCGGGCTTTCTGTCCCTAATGGAGTGCTGTTAATAGGGCCTCCAGGTGTAGGGACAACTCTGTTGGTAAAGTCAGTAGCGAGAGAAGTGGGTGCCTATCTATTCTGCATCAGTGGCCCAGTCATCTATGGTTCAAGACCAGGAGAAGGTGAAGAAAATTTGCGAAGAGTCTTTGAAAAGGGCAGGGAGATGTCATGTGAAGGCCCAACCATTGTCTTTATTGATGAAGTTGACTCTTTATGCCCAAAGCGCGGAGGTTCAAACAATGCACCTGAAGATCGTATTGTTGCTCAGTTGCTAACTCTGCTGGATGGTGTAGGTAGGGAGGGTAAGATGGTCGTTATAGCAGCAACTAACAGGCCTGACGCCTTAGACCCTGCACTGAGGAGACCTGGCAGGTTTGACAGAGAGGTAAGCAAAAAACTCTGTTATTCATATGCTCTTTCTTTCTTTCCTCCCCTTTTTAGAGATGGAGCAGGGAGCTATTGGGGTGGTTTGGTTTTTGTTTTTTAATGTCTACTAGTCATGTTCTATAGTAGGCTTCTACAGTCTTCAGCTGTGTCATGTTTCTGAAGTTTGCTGCAGCTTGGGTGAGGCAGGGAGCACATTTTACTCAGGAAACTGAAAGCTCCAAATACTTAAAAATGTGCAGTGGGATTCTTTGTGCTTCTTTATGATAAAGACATGGACCTGTTCTTCAGGGATTTTTTTTGCTTACAGATACTTAGCATTACAGACTTAGATTTTTCTCATATGAAGCTCAGATTCAAGATTTATTAATCTTTCCTTAAAAGTTCATTGAGAACTAGTAACCTGTAGTGTAAAAATTTCAATTGAGATTTCAGTAACTAAGTCTACTCTAGAAAACTGATAGCCTAATGGTCAAAAGAAAAAAGAACACATTTTGCAACACAAAATAATTTTGCTTGTATTTTTTATTTTGCTGGCTAAATGCGCTCCTTGGTCATCCAGTTTAGTCAAGTCCTTTAATGCTTTCACAATTACAGTTTTCAGGATTTACAGATTGTCAAAACATATTTAATGGTCATGTTATATGATGGTATTACAAGCCAGGTTTTTAAAAATGTGTGAATTTAATTGATTTTTTTCTTTTGGGTGAATACAATGCAGTCTTTGTGATGCAAGGAAATTGTTATTAGTGTTTTGTCATACGCTGAAATTACCTTAAAGTAGGACTTGACACTGGCTGACAGCTGTTTTATGAACACTGCTTACACAAACACTGTTCACTTGGAAAGTAAGTGTAAATTAAGAGTATTTTAAATATCTGCCATTTGTATAGTGCTGGTAATAAGTTTCTTGTAAAGTTCTTTAGTTGTAGTGTAAGTATGCATAAAATTTTAGTAAGCAATATAAAGCGAAGACAAATTTGCTTGCCTAGGTCAATAAAATAAGAGAAATATAGTAAAATACCTACTTTAAATTTTTGCTTATTATATTTGTTTTAGGTTATTATTGGGACCCCTACACTTAAGCAAAGAAGATCCATCCTGCAGTTGCTTACCTGTAGTATGCCAGTTTCTACAGACGTGGATTTGGTGAAGCTGGCAGAAATGACAGCTGGGTATGTTGGAGCTGACCTTACAGCACTCTGCAGAGAAGCTGCCATGCACGCTTTGTTCCACAGCTCCTTGGTATGGTTACAAATTAGTCAAGAAGAATGTCGTTAGTATATGTGCCACCCTTTCCCTGTTAGTACTCGACTTCACCTAAAAAGCTCAACAAGTTGAAGAGCTCACAAATTAAAATACTTAAAAACACAAAGTGTGTTATAAATGTAAATACGCCCTCTCACTTTTCCTTTCAGTTCTCACCTGTTTTCTCCTTTCTGGGTGAAAAGCTTTGCTGAAGTTTATATCCTTATCTTTTTAGGACTGTGCAAAGCAAAGATTTTAGACTATTTTTGCAAACTAAACTATGATGTCCACCAAAGCTCTCTTTTGAAGCTATCAGTGATTAGAATTATATTTCTTAATAGTAATTGCAAATTAAAATTTAGGTTCAGACATATTCACATAACTGCTAGTGATGCTAACTGCTATGATTTGTGTTGTATGGCTGGATATAACATTGCTGTAGACACAAGGAATACAACTGCTCAGCGTGCAGCAATTTAAAGTCTTAGCAATTCCCTAATTCCGTATCTGTACTATCTATTTCTTAATATTCTTTTATCTATTCAGACTTTTACAAGAATTGTGAAAGGAAATGTATGTTTGCTGTGATTTTTCATCTGGAATGGCTGAGCAGAAATTTAAAGCTCTATCAACAAAATTTCCCGATTCAGAGCATCTACACAGAATGGTAGAACCCTCTGTCTTCACTCAGGGGAAGAAAAAAAAAGTGTGTCATATTTCTTAAACGTCATTCTCCTCCAGCTATCTTACAACTACTGAAAATAGTAAACAAAATAATATGAGCCTGGGATCCCAGAAGGAGTAGATGGACAGATGAAAGCAGTGAATAAGTGGATGGCCTATTTGCCATTTTTACAAATGCCTTTGTAAAATACATCTTAGTTTTGTTATTGCATCTGTAGTTTAATAATGGTATTTTATAGCCTATTTGAGATAAAGTGCCTTACTTTGCCCAGTGTGGGGTGAAAATGGATATTAGAACATTTTGATCTGCAAATATTTTTTTTTATTGAATCAAGAGATTGTAGAATTTGGTGCATAGTAACCCTGAAACTAGCAATCTGATTTAGCAGACCATTGTGTAATGGAGCTATAATTTAGGGGGAAATAGTAGTTTTATCTAAAACATTGATTTCTGTTAAAATTGGGTTTTCCTGTGTAAAAACTTGGCATTAAAGAGAATACATTCAACTTCGTGTTACATCTTTGTACCTGAAGTGCTTAAGCTTGTTAGGGTGGAAATTTGCTTCTTTATTAGTTGCATTTGGCTTCTTGTGAGGTGTTTTGCATGCTAATGCAGCATTATAAGTTATTACATAAAAATATTGTTAATATGCTGTATCTGAATTTCCTCAGGATTCTGCTGAAACAGTGATTAACACAGCAGATTTCCAAGAAGCTTTTAAAAAAATTCAACCATCCTCTTTTCGAAGTGCAATTGGACTAACAGAGTGTAAACCTGTCACTTGGGAGCAAATTGGTGGTCTGGAAGATGTGAAACTAAAGTTAAAACAGGTAACATATAAAACACATTTCGATAAACAGCTAGTTTTGAATAACATCTCCTCTGGGGTATTCTGTATGCCACATTATGGAAATTTGTTCTCTTTTAAATTACCTGATTATAAGCTGTATTTGAAACATTTTCTATAGTACATTTAAGTTATTACAGTGTGACCTAGAAACCTTCCAGCTACAAGATATCAACACCAAGTGTAAATATTGTGGGAAAATAATCATGTTTTTTAGTAGCTGAAAAATGCTTAACTTGTAGCCAGATAATTTGTCCATTCCTGAATTTGTAGCCAGAGATGGCTCTTATGTGTCATCTCCCAGGGATTGTCTTTTGTTCTGTTTGAGACGGAGAAGAAACTTTTGGGAAGGGGGCATTGTATGAAGGAAGACCAAAGTTGTATTCTCTGGCTTCAAATTAACGTTTATACAGAGGAGAGGAAATAACGTGCTCAACAATTCCATTGACTGCCTGTGAACTCTAGTTTTGTTAATAAGAATTTCATGCCAGTTTTGTTTCTGTATTGGCAGAGTATTGAGTGGCCTATGAAATTTCCTCAGGCGTTTGCTAGGATGGGTCTGTCTCATCCAAAGGGTATTCTTCTCTATGGGCCATCGGGGTGTGCCAAAACCACACTGGTGAAGGCTGTGGCCACCAGCTGTCACTGCTCCTTTCTCTCCGTCAGTGGTGCTGACCTTTTCTCACCTTACGTTGGAGATTCAGAGAAGATTTTGTCTCAGGTACCGTTTTGAATTTGTGTAAGATCTACAGTTTATTTTTCCTTGATTTTTGTAAAATATTAGGTAGGCTTAAATTTTATTGAAAAGATGATAGCTAAAGCTCTCATCTGATTATTAAATAAAAATGTCTTATAGGTTTATATAAACTTAGAATCTAGCCCTAAAATTATACTAGTTTTAAACTTTGAGAATATTTCTACCCTTTTGTTTTCAGTTCATTTGAAGAATTTAAATAAGAAGCAGAATTTGCTTGTAGTAAAACATAAGCCAGAACAACTCTTGTGAATCTTCAAGAATGTATCTTTAAACTTACATTAGTTAAATACAGAATACGTGTAAATAGATTTTTTCACCTTACCTGATAGAATGCATACATTAATGTTTTACTTTATTGATATTTTTAAAAAGGTTTTTCGCCAAGCAAGGGCAAATACTCCAGCAATAGTATTCCTAGACGAGATTGATTCCATCTTGGGCTCTCGGTCCCACTGCCAAACTGGCCATGGGGTCTCGGAGCGGGTTCTTTCCGTTCTTCTCAACGAGCTGGATGGTATTGGACTGAAAGTCACGGAAAGAAGAGGAGGCAAGCTGCAGCTTGAGGGTCAATGTCAACAACAAAGTGATGAAGAAAGGAAGGTATTTGTTCCCTTTTCCTTTCAGGAAGAACAATAAGTGCTGTCTAGTTGTTTCAAAAGTTTAGTTGTCGCCATTCACACTTTTTCAACTTAAAATTCTCAAGCTTAAAAATATGCAATATGCTATGATTTATTCCATCGTAGTTTCTAGTTTTGAGAAAATACTGCATGAAGGCTGCTAACTGTTTTTACATATTCTTCCTTTATATTTGTATATATATAAATATTGTATATTTGAACAAATACCCGCACCAGCTAATGAGCATTACTAGTCAGTGTTCCTTGTCTCTCACAAAAGTCCTCTTCCTTGACACTAAGATAATTTTTTAGATTAATCGTACTAATTTTGCTATTATACATGTTCCTTCCTGGACTGATTTCATTTGCAGTGCTTTCTCATACATGCTTTCTACAAAACCAGCAGAGTTACCATCAGTTACGTATTTAAACAAAAAGCTGCACCTGGACTTCTCTAGTGAATTGTTCACAATGTTTAATATTTAACTTTTTTGTAGTTACTCTCTGGGGGAATACTAAAGGATTCAGAATTGCAGGTCTTTGTCACAATCTGGCCGAAGAAAAGTCTATGGCTAAGGCAGATACTAACTGCATTTCTTCCTGGTCATTAATCTGGCTGCGCCAAGGCATTCTTTTACATCAAGAAATAAAAAAAAAAAAAAAAAA